TGTTGAAAAATATCATTCACTAATGACCTGGAGACTCTGCCCTGTGATAAGTGGTCTCATATTTGTAGATCTCAGAGTCCCCCAAAGACAGCTGGAGATCTTTTATCAAAATGATTGAGAGAGAAATCTCAGAGAATTTACTCTATAATCCATGTCTCCACATTTGAGCTCCCAGCATCTGCCCACACTGGGCCAGGAGCCCCAGAGACAATGAGACATGGTTTGGTTTTTGCCTTCAAGGAATTTCTGATCTATGGGGAAGGAGAGTCAGGAAACCAGCCTTCACATGGTATGTACAACACTGTAAGGAGACCATATCAAGGACACTATGGGTACACAGGGGAACTCAGGGTGAGCTCCTAACCTAGATGGAGCTGTCCCTAGAGAGGTCATGCAAACCATTTGGCCCTTTTAACCCAGGAGTCTAGAATAAAGAGTGGCTAGGGAATGGTTTCCTTCTCATCCAAGCAGGACTGTTTACTGCATCGAAGCATGAAAGCACACCAGGTGACTGGAACTTCAAGGGCCAAGTCTTATTCATGAGGAAACCATGGCAGGTCTTAGAGGTGATGCTGAAGAAAGAACTTTAACCTCCAGGTGTAAGGAAACAGCTAAGGTAGAAGTTTGGGAGTAATATCATCAGATCAGGATCTGAAAAAATCATCATGGCAAGAGGCAGCAGCTTGTCAAGAGCCAGTGTAAAGAGAGAAAGGCTACTTCCTGGGCTTACTCTACCTTGCCATCCCCATGAGAGCATCTGCTTTCCACTAAGAGTCTTCACAGTCCAGGCTTACAGGAGCCAACGGCAGGGTAAGCAGCCCACACATTACTTACAGCTCCTCTCAAGGAAGAGGTGACAGCCTTACACCTTCTTCTGGAATCAGGGCTGGAGTGTGACTCATTTTGATCCAAGACCAGGTCACAAGAGGCCTTACAGTTTCCATTTTCACAGCGTTGGAACTATCATCACCATCTAACTCTGGTTCAGTGTCCTTAAGGTTGAGAGACTGAACAGAGAGAGAGAGACTAAGCATCAAGTCATCCCAGCAATCTCATCACATATGATGACCATTCTTTGCCAGCCAGTCATCAACATACCTGCCCACCATTGGTGGCCACACTAGAGACCCCAGGCAAGATGCAGAAGTGGATTCCACTGAATCCACTGCGAATTACCAAATCAAGAGCCAGTTGATGGCTGTTGCTTTACACTACTTTGCCTTTGCTGGTTAGTGACAGTAGATAAGGGGGCCTCCTCACTACTGTAGTTCATGAAGCCTGGAGCTGGACAGTAAGCTGTCCAGAATGTCAGTGGAATGAATGCTGTCTGGAGGGTACTATGCTCCTATGCCCTGTGAAGAAAGGGTTTCTGCTGGGCTCATCTGAGCATCCTTGCTTCCAGAGTGCCAATTAGGATGCCTAACTCTCTACCTTATAGCTAACTATAAATGCACTCCCCTGATTGATGGGAGATCAATATTAATTAATAATTCATAGTATGGTCAGACTTTTTCACATGTAATCACAACTTTAAATCTCAAGAAATGCTCCCAGAGATAGCTAGGAAGGAATTTTTGCTTCAAATCCTGCTTTAATTTTCACAGAACACTATCTAATGGTCTCTCGGAATTTGTGGGAGGTGTATGAAAAAGTCGCAACTGGCCATAGATGCCATGCTTCTCCCAGGGCAGGACGCTACCCCTTCAGAATGTGGCTTTCATGTGACCAGACTCCATCACGGGCTCAGACAAGGAGAAGATAAAAATGAGTGGATATTTGTGGCCTCTTCTAGAAACCACTCGGACTCCATCTGGTGCAGGGTGGGGGAGGGACTCTGAAGGAGGTGATGGAAACCGAGCTGATGTTATGAAATTCACCGCATCGAAATTCCTGAGTATACATCAAAAGGGAAAGAGCCTTGTTGCCACACACTTGAACTCATTTTGAACCTGCAGGAATTCTCTGTAGCATTCTACCCTGAATTATTTTGGTTTCATAAATCTAACATTAAGTTCCTATCTTTCTTCTGTCAACACATCATACCAAAATGGCTAGATAGACTTTTATCAAATTGAGAGGATATGTTTGGGATGTCCTGACTTGAAAAATTAAAAACAAGTGGCAAGGCTCACAACCATGCAAGCCACTTTGGGGAGGTAAAAGTGAGAGTCAAGAGGTACTTGTAACTTGGTTGGAAAGGTGACCAGAGGACACAGGAAGTCAAACGTGAATCCCCTCAGGGCTCCTACTGTGGGCATCAGTCTAGATGGAGTCGCTTGTCATGACGTGCCATCTGTAATATCCTCCAGCATGTTTAGAAGCAGGGATTCATTTATTTAACCCTGACCTAGCAACTAGGAGACCAATGTGTATGTAGAATCAATTCCTGAGGGCAGTGTCCCTGGCTGATGTACTCTTTAAAAACAAAGATGTATTCCAACCTAAAATGAGAGGTCTCATACTTTTTCTGGTAAGGCTTTTCCTTTTTGGACAATAAGGTAGCTCAGAGCCACAAAAAACACAAGTAACTCACTTTGCTGTACCAGATTCCCATCAGAGGCCCCCAGAAAACATAGTCATGTGTCTGGTGTGGTGTTCTTGACTTATCTGGGTATCCACAGACACACCCACAGACATTTAATAAACATCACTTGAATAAATGAAGGAATGAATGGATGGGTACACAAATGAGTGAATGGATGTGTTACCTGAGGTGCTTTGAAAAGTATAGCTGTGCCCTTCACAGAAAGCTGAACTTGTTAGCTACATTTCACATTGAATAGCATTTTTACTTCCATTGTTTAAGAGAGTGTTGAATATTTTCAAACTATATAGGGATTCAAACCATAAAGCCATAGCTATAAATGGCAGATTATACTGCTTCCGTAATACTTTTCAGAAGAACTGTTTATCTCACGTTTAATATTGGCAATGCCACGATTCCTGCAATGAATTGACAAATAGTTCAATACACCTCATTTAGAGCCATTATAGGGCATTTCATCAAAGATCTGGTTATGAATGTCTCCAAAGAAAGAATCAATGAGATTTTTATTATGGTTGGGAGAGATTTCTTCAAGACAAGAATATCCCTATACAATGAAGGTGACTAAAATAAAGAGTGACCAGGGCAAAGGGCATGTTCCATTTTATACCACTGAAGGCAAACATAATCTCTAATTTTATAATAGTCTCTTCCCACATATATTATCCATGTAATTGTTTAGGTTTCAAAACCCACTTGATAGCAGTTTTACAAGCGGCAGAAGGAGACTGTTCTCTGGAGTCTGTGCTCTGGGACTGCCTCAATGAGAAAACAGCCTTGTAATTAGCACATTTGGTACATTAGCGATAAAGCACTCCTTGGAGGGCAAGAAGGCCTGCAGCTCGCCAAACTCCTCTCACAGCAGTGCCAGTGTGAGGTTCAGGTGGCTCCTCCCTTTGTACCATTGGGTCAGGATTCCCCAGAACTGTGCTCTTAATTAAAGATCTCAGGAAACACGGTGCGTTGAATAACTTGTTTGTATGCTTTCTGTGTACAAAATGCGCTAACTTAACTTTAATGTAGTTCTATTTAGTCCCAGAGAGTTTTATAATTTAATAAGAAAATCATTCCTAATCAGTTTTTACATCTTTCTTTAGTTTGTAGCTGAAAATCAGTAATTTGGAGGAAATAATAAAATTTCCGAAACTATAGCTTCGTGTGTGTGTGTGTGTGTGTGTGTGTGTGTGTGTGTGTGTGTTCTGTATATAGTCTAAGGAGTCTAAGACTATAGTCTTCTTAGCTTTGTTCAGTCCTTTAAATACTTCTTTCACTGATTATTCTTTGTACAAATCACAGAAGCACATAAAGCAAGCATTTGAGGTTTCCTATAATGTCAGGTCAAGGTTCTTTGATGCAAGCCAGAGAAATAGACCCGGTAATGTATGTGGATTATGAGAAAGACAGAGGAGAGAACAAAAGGACAGGCACCCAGCAGTGCCAAGAGCCTTCCCATCAGAGCCCCAGACTCCACTCCACCAGCCTTCATCTCTCAGGATAGGGAATTTGATTGGCCCAGCTCGGGTCTACTTCAAGTCAATCAAACATAGTCAGGAACCCGGGGGAGGAAACTACAGACAGGATCATTAAGTACAGTCTGAGTGACCATCTTCCTCATGTCCACTATTCTCCAGACTCTCCCTAAATGATTTTTCTGGTATCATACTTACCAATGGTGCTCATATTTTTTTCAGAATAGGCTGGACAATGGCAACACTTGACACTGGTGAACATTTACATTTTAAAATAGTTGCTATACATTATTATTAGCAGCACATTCTTATAAATAACAGAGAGTATCATCTATCAAACTTTTACTGACTTCTAATAGTAAGTTACCACTTACACTGTGCTTACATTGTGCTGGGCTGATGCTAAGAATTTTGAACAAATTATCTTATTCACACAACAAATCAGCAGGTTCATATTAGTATCATGTTTGTCAAATCATTCAAATAATAAACTTAAAAATAAATAATAAAGTTATAAATTATAAAATAAATTTAAAACTTGGTTGATACCTTGTATGTGGACTCCTTTGAACTTCCCAAGACCCTGATGAAATCGTAATTACTGATAATAATACACAGACAAGACTGCCAAAGAGTAAAATGAGTATGCCCTGCATCTATGAACAACCCAACCTTCATCTCCTAGCTGCTTGTCCAATGTTCCTTTACAGTTAACAGAGCTTGAGGGAATCTACTGGTAAGAGCATTTCTAGTGCTTTGACAATCTTTGACAAGCTCAGTTTTATGCATTGTAGATTCAGAGCAATTACAGAGAGAAACTCTTCCTGGGCTCATTTGTTTATTTTCTTTGATTTGGAAGAGGGGGAAAGAACTAGTGAGGGTAAGGCCTAAATCACCGTAAGAGACAAGGTTATGTGACTCTCTCCTACTTCCACGGCTGCAGTGAGAGGCAGAGACAGCAGAGCCCTGCCACCACCCCGTGAAGCGTTGAGTCCTCACCATTTCCCAGCCAGCAGGAAGGAGAATGAAGGAAGTTGAGGATACAAATGGAGCCAAGGCTTTCAACCCAGAATCTGTAAGTCTCTCTCTCTCTCTAGCTTACATCCTATTGGTTCAAGTTTTGTCACATGACACACATAACTGCAAAGGCAGCTGGAAAACATACTTTTGCACCAAACAGACATGGCTTGCCCAGAACTCAGGAGGAAAGGTGTCATTTCTGACACAAGTAAACCAGGAATAGTCTTAGCTATTCTTCCTGTGATCAATCAGAACTTTAAAAAAAAAAAAAGCTGTCCATACTTAGGGCAGATCTAGGTTTTCTTGAACTTTATTCAGTCAAGGTGAGACTAAGAGTAGACTTTGTCAAGAAAAACAGTACGAAATTATCTAACTTTTAAACATGTTACATGTTTTTTAAAAACCAGCTCTTAGGAACTGTCAGGGCCTTGCATAGATGGGCTTTGTACAGCTAGGAGTCCTGAAGCTTAAGCCTTCTTAGTTCGAGGAAAACCAATTTATAGCCACCACTGTTGCATTTTTAAAACTTATTCTTGCAAACTTTGATCATAGGAAAGTCATTATGCATCTAAGATAAATAGCTGGGCGAATGACAGAAGCAGTCTGTTTCCTAGGAGCCAACCCTGTGTAGTGTGGGGCCTGGCTACCCAGCTGATGGTTCACAAGCCTTTAGAAGGCTACACTGACCAGTTGGTCTCCACCTGGCCATAAGCAAGCACAGCCACAGTAACAGTCCAGAGGAAGGAAATGGTTTGTGAGTGTTTGCTTCATTGTATTTAAGCTGGGCAGTGAGAGCTGGGGCCACAGCTGGGTCTCAATCGCGACCATTCTGACCCACAAGTCCTGAGTCAACAGAATGAGCCAGTGGGCAGGGCTAGGTTCTCCTCCCTAGAGGGAAGATTCTGATGCAATCTTTGTGAAATGTTCTCTGGTCTGCTCCATGTCAAGAGCCTGAAGCCGAAGGAAAATAATCTGTCATTATAATTTGTCCAGAGAAAATAACAAAATATGTCAGATTCAGTTTTACTGAAAACCTTCACTGAATGGAGGAAAGAAAGCTGGTTGCGGGTGTTCACTTCCCAGAATGCACGTGGCCTCTAGCTACTCCCAACATGCACACTTCTCAGCACAGCTCCAAGCTCACTCATTTCATTTATTCATCCCAAAACAATTTTTACCTGCTCTAGGCCTAAGGATGTTGGAATGTGCGAGGAGAGAGCTTTGGCAGCAGGGACCCACACACCGCAGGGCAAGAAGGGCTATACCAGAGTTCAGTGTCGGGCCATGGGAGGTCAAACCTAGTCTTGGTCAGAGGGGCCGCCAACAAAAGAGAACACTGGAGATTAATCACCATGAAATCCTCTCTCCTTGGCTCTCTAAGTTCAAGTGGTGAGCACCCTCTACAGAGCATGGGCTTCCATCCATATGACACCTATCACATGTTCCTGCATGATACTGTGAAATGACCTTCTCTCTTCCACTTCATCTAAGAGGCATATGAACAAGCAGCCATATGTAAAGCACACTAATATTTCTAATATCAAGCCTCTATTTTAAGTCAGGCCTTTTATATATTTTGTTTCATTCAAATCCGTGTTTCAAAGATAAAAAACTGAAACTTCAAAGAAAAAAGAAAGCTTGGGGAAAGTTGTCTAACGCATGTGACTAGTCGTGGTTTAATGAGGATTTGCTGTTGGTTATCTCTGACTGCAAAGCACCATGCTTTCTAAAGATCAGACTTACTTATCTCTCCCTTATCTCACAGTATAGAAACCCCTTGATCATTCCTTATTAGTAAGGGAATCTTTCTGCTGAAATGTCAGTCTCACTGGACTGCTCTTCATGGGCCTCAGATTAGTAACAAGAAAACCTACCACAGCTGATTCTCCTAATAGAGACATCCACCAGCTCAGGAAGAGGATTCAGAATGATGGCTTTAGCAACGGTCATTAAATAATGATCGCTTGGCAACAACTTTGACCTTAACCCCATTAGAAAAAAGGCATTCTGGCAAGAAAACACTCCAGTCCATGCTCAAACCTGTGCTCTGCACTTTGATTTCTTAAGAAGCAGCAGCCCCTTCCCTAAAAGAAAGAGAAAGCAAGGTTACTGGAGGTGTCTTCCCAGTGTAAACAGATTTGTGCATTGACTGCAGACATGATTTAGTTGGGCTAATTGCAGACAAACCAAAAGCATTTTTTAACTAAATTTGACTATATTTTTTTCTTAATCAAGCATGGGAAAAATATTATCTAGTATTCCTTAGTGTTCTTAGAAAAGATTCATCTATCTTCCATTCTAAATAAAAAGTAAGTAGATATTTTTCAGTTAGTATTCACATTCCAGCCACTAAATTTTACATAATTGGGACTGGAGAAATGGCTCAGTGGGTAAGAGGGCATATTGGTCTTGCAGAGGACCCAAGTTCATTTCCCAGCACCCACACCAGGCAGCTCTCAACCACCTGTAACTACAGGCCAGAGGATCTGATATCATCTTCTCACCTCTGTGGGCACTAGCACACATGTACACAGACACACATATATACACATAATTGAAAATTAAATAACTTTTTAAATCCATGTGGTTATTATGGAAATAATATATAATATTGAGAAGTTTTTAAATCTTGGCCTTAACCCACATGATATGCATTGTTCTTGCCTCAAAGTTCAGCAAGCTGGATGATTCCAAACTGACTTAGGATTTTGTGTATTCACAGAAACCCTCAGGTCTGTCTTTTGGTGTTCTTTCCAGGCCCTTATCTCTACTCCAGAAAGACCAAACCTCATATCAAATATTTGAAGTACTTTATGGTAATAGTCACACTTTTAATGGACTCCAACTCGTGTAAACAATTAAAAATCCTAGCATATTCTAAGACAGAATTGTTCTCAAAAACTGTCCTATGATGTAGAGCTTTTGGCCATTCCTAGTGGAGCAGGAGCAGGTGAACTGAATCAACAAGCTGTGAAGAGAGGTCAGCCTTCACAGGACTGACTTGGGCGAAAACAGTAGGTCTTATCAGTTTGCTTAAATATGAATAGACTCTTTGGCTCTCAACTCTAATACACTTAATACTTTCCAGTATTTGTTGAAGAGCAAAGTCAGGCCACTTTTGTTGTTTTCAGGCTTGAGCATTTTACTTGCCTTTTTAAAATGAACTTTAGCATCATAGAGTTCATGAATTTCTGCAGACATGCTTTCTGGTTGAAGACACTGAGGCCGCGAGAAGTGAAATGGCAAACCCAGGTTCATATCTCTTTAGAAAAGCCAAGGTGAGAAGCTGGACCATCAAACCAGGATTTCTCAACCTCAGCACTATCAGTGTTGAGCAGATGGTTCTTTCTTGGGAAAAGGGCCTTTGTTCTGTCTTACAGTCATTTGAAAAATAAATATCAAGGCTGGGAAGATGCCTCAGTGGGTAAGGACACTTCATGCCTAGCCTGGGACTCATATTATGGAGAGAGAGAAAGGATTCCCACAAGTTGTCCTCTGACCTCTACAGGCACTGCACAGCACGCATAAGCCCACATATACATACATACATACACACACATACACATAGACAAGTAATTAAGTATAAAAATAAATGAAAACTGAATATCCATTTCACCCTGAATCTGCTATTATGAATGAGGTAGTTCCAGGCTGATTTCTGCTCTACTCCTCTTTCCCACACAATATGGGAAGCACATGATGTTCATCACCATCCATGCCCTCTTACCTTTGATGTCAATGTCCCAGCATCCCAATGTGACAACCAAATTCATTTTCATGTTTTCTGAAATTAACCCAGATGAGACCCTGCTCCAGACCTACCTTGACTTGCCAAGTGATACCTTAGCCCCACACCAGTCCCCAGGATGCCCAAGCTTCAGCAGGGTCCGTTGCAGATAAGCCCATGCTTTGTCTTGGGAAAAATTATATTGCACTAGAAAAGGCAACAAGCTTGAACAGGAGGCCGATTTAAATTCAAATCATGGCTGTGCCACTCAGTCATTTGGGGCCCTTGGATGCTATTTTTAACTTTCTGAGTTCCATTTTCTCAACTGCAAGTGGGAGTTACAAAGTGACTTCCAGGGTAAGCTATTAAGTCAACAGTCTATAAGAACTATGACACAATGTCTAGCACATTAGAAGAGAACAACGTTAATTCCCTCTCACTAATCATGGAATCAAAACTACTAGAAAAGAAGGTTTTACCAATGGGAATCCAGTGGAGCTGTAACATAGATCTTGCTCTTCTAAAGGACCCGGGTTCAGTTCCCAGCACCTACATGGCAGCTAACAATTGTTCATAGCCCATTTCCAGGGGCTCCAATGCCCTCTTCTGGCCTCTGTGGGTGCATGTATATACATGCAGGCAAAACACTCATACACATTAAAAAATAAATAAATAAATAGATTGAAGTTTATTTCCAACCTCCTTTAATAGCTTTCCTATTTCAGCATTGTATTTCAATGAAATTTAAAAGTTCTGTATACATAAAGATATTTAGTGCAGGGGCTGGAGAGATGGCTCAGTGGTTAAGAGCACTGGCTGTTCTTTCAGAGGACTTGGGTTCAATTCTCAGCACCCACATGGCAGTTAACTATCTGTAACTCCAGTTCCAGGGGATCTGATGCCCTCTTCTGGCCTCCATGGGCATTACATGACACAGATGTACTTACATACATGCAGACAATACACTTATACACACAAAATAAAAATAATAAATAAAATATTTTAAGATATCTAGGGCAAGTTTATCTACAGTAATACACCATCATCACCTCTACAACCAACAACAAAAACTTAGAAATAACCAAATATCTGTTCTGGATTAAATCATGTTCTCAAAGAAAAACTAAGTGTTAACCGACAGTATCTCAGATGTGATCTTGTTTAGAAATAGGGCCCATGGGGCTGGAGAGATGGCTCAGCAGTTAAGAGCACTAACTGCTCTTGTAGAGGACCTGGGTTCAATTCCCAGCACCCATATGGCAGCTACAAACCGCCCTTAACTCCAGTTCCAGGGGAATCTGAAGCCCTCTTCTGACCTCTGTGGCATTGCATGACATGGGTTCACTCACATACACGCAGGAAATACACTTATACACATAAAATAAAAATAATAAGTAAATTTTTTTAAAAAAGAAAAGAAATAGGGTCTTTGGGACTGGAGAGATGGTTCAGTTGGTAAAGAGCTTGTCACATAAGTATGAGAACCTGAGCTGGATCCCCAGCAATCATTAAAAGCCTGCCATGGAGGCACAGGCCTGTAGTCCCAGCACTGGGGAGGTGGAGGCAGGAGGCTCCAGGGACTTGGTGGCCAGCTAGCCTAGCCTAATTGGCAAGCTCCAGTTTCAGTGAGGGACCCCATCTTAGGAAAATAAGGTAGAACACAATTGAGGAAGACAGTACATTGACCTCTGGCCTATACGCACACAGACATGCATAAATGAGGGAGGATACACACAACAAGAAGGAAGGAAGGAAGGAAGGAAGGAAGGAAGGAAGGAAGGAAGGAAGGAGGGAGGTTTAATGTTAAAGTAGCAAAAAGCCCCAGAAAGAGGGAGGGAGGGAAAGAGCGAAGGAGGGACGGATGGAGGGAGGGAAAAGAAATGAGGATCTTTGCAGATATTGTCAAGATGAAGTCTTCGAGGATGGTCTCAATCAAAATGAGTGTTTTCTTTATGCGAAAGGGGAATCGGACATTGCATAGGCTGCACAGGGGGAAGATTACATGAAGAAATGCAGGGAAAAATGTTGTGATGAATGAGGATTGCAGCAAGCCAAGAAATGCCAACAAACCACTAGAAGCTAGGAAAAGGCAAGGAATTCACCTGCAGATTTCAGAGGGAAGAGAGCTCTATGGGTACCTTGACTTTAGACTTTCAGTTTACAGAACTATGAGATAATAAATCTCTGGTTTCGTAAGTCACAGTTTGTGGTGCTTTGTTAGATCAACCATAGCAAACAAATATGATACATGATGAGAGGGGAATACTTTATTCAGTTGTTGCTGTCGATCTTAGGAAATATATTCACAAAAAATTACATTTTACATGATTTCAAGAAACAGATAAATATTACAGCAAATGAGATAAATATTATAATTGATCAAATAGCATACAAAATGGTATATACTTTGAATATAATACTATTAGGGCAAGGGTCAAAATAGATGGATTGAGGCCAGGGCCAAACAGAGCCCATGGCATGGTACAAACCCTGTAGCTCCCGTGAGAGTCAAGGTGAGGAACAACAAATCAGTAGAGAAGCCCTCCAGCCTTTCCCAAGCTTGCTATAAATGATCCCACAGAGCCTCAGCCTTAGGGACCAGCCACAGTCACTGCGGTACTAAGCCCCCTCAGCAGCTACCTTCCCAGGAAGTCACCAAACCAACAATTTTACAACAGGGACCAACATGAATCCCAAGCAGATCTGTAAAGTCAAAGCCCAGATCTTTCTATGAGAAGAGCAGAAGCAAACAGGAATCTGAGCCCACATTACCTGTACCTGTGTGTGAACATCTATAAAAACGGATTAACTGATTACACGAGAGTAAACACACCAGTCAGAAAAAACCTACTGTTAACAATGTTTTCATGCTGCCAAGATGCACTGGGGAGTCAGGAGGAAGACCAACTTAGTTTTACATAAAAGCTTACACTTTATTTTACACATTTAAATATTTTATGAGAAAATTTGTGATGCCACAATATGGGTATATAAAGGTTGAAAGAAAATATTTAAAGTGAAAGCAATTTCTCAAAATTTCTGCATTGTGGGGATTTGTTTTATTGTTTGTTTTTGTAAAAAAAAATCCTCCCTAGTAAGTTTGTCTCTAAAGAAGGTTCTATAACTGATGCAACAGAAGCAAAATAGCAGTTTTACAATGACACCACCCAGATTCTTGGCACATAAATATCTTTCCAGTCAAAGCCTGGTTCCCATATAAAAGCTTCAATAAGATTAAAGAGGCAAAAAGTTTTGCCTTTTCTTAGTCTTCAGTTCATCCAGTTTTCTGGAACGATGGAGAATAAAAGAGAGAGAAATGCAGTGGCTCAGAACTTCTTCCCTACATCACTCACCCCACCTGTCTGTGGGTAGTCTGCAACCACCATCAGTGAATATCAGCCTCAACCTTCCTCACTACCCAGAACTAACATGTTCCAAAGAACCTGGAGAGCCTTACCCTCCACCTGCCCACACCCATGATCATTTTTCCTTTCACACTTTTCAGAGCTCACATGACACCTCCAAAAAGTAATTCAAACTCAGTGTGAAAGAACTGTGTGCATGGTTTGGTTTCCTTGTTTCCCTCCTTTTGAGGGGGAAGGTCAGCTGTCCCTTCCAGGGTGACTGAGAATGGAGCTAGTTTCACAATGGGTGCTGTCCAGGGTATGTAGGATGAAGGGTACAATGGCACGGAGGTCTTCCTCTCTGGGAACATATGTTCCCTCAGCAGGGCAGGTACCAGGAACCCAGGCACCAAGGACTCATTCCATTGGTCCTCAAGATGCCTGTTCCTTCGGGAATCATTTCTTCCTTTTCTTTATTTCTTTTATGTGTATGAGTGTTTTGCCTGCACATATGTAAGTACACCACATGCACTCAATGACTGTGGAGGCCAGAAAAGAGTGTGGGTTCCCCCTGAACTGGAGGTACAGACGGACAGTTGTTAGCTGCCATGTAGGTACTGGGAATCGAATCCAGGTCCTCTGCAAGAATAACCGGAGCTCTTAACCACTCACCCATCTCTCCAGGCACAGCAATCACTTCTTAAAATGCATCCACTGTTGGTGGAAATGCCACCCTCACTCTTGACCAACTACCTCTCCTCTGGGATTGACTGACCAGGACTGCACAAGGCCTAAGTGGGACAGGCACCAAGGTGAGCACTGGAGAGCAAGTTGAACCAAGCAGGTAGAAAGAGCTGGGAGAAGAAATATGGGCATGATCACCTCACATTGTACTTAGTCCTTAAATGACCATTGTGTTTAGTACTTAAACACAGTACCTTATTTAATTCTCTTGATAATCCTCTGAGTTAGTAATTTGCTCAAGGTCATCCAAATTGTGGATGAATTAGAACTCAAGCCTTTCAACTTGGAAATCTGCACACTCCTTATTCTATGTGTATACTGGTAAGTACACAACATATTTACTAAAAGCACTAAAATTAATTCTAGCTCATTTGCTTTTTAGATTGTAGGATGTTATCCTAAGAAATAAATCATAGACATACACAAAGATTTCACTATAAAAAATAATGCTAGTCACTAATGATTTAGCTAGAAAAAAATTAATATTTATTACTGGATGATTAACTTAAAGATAGCTGTTTATTCCATACATTAAAATATTCTGTGACCATTAAAATGATGTAGAAGGAAATGGGATGACACAAGCGTTCATAATGTGCTAGTATTTTATTTTGTCTGTTTTAAGCATGTGTTCTGGTAACTATTGTTGCATAACAAATTATCCTAATTTCTCTGTATTGTTTTTCTTAAAAATGTATAGGTTGGCACTGTTGCACTCAGGAGGTAGAGGCAGGAAGAGCTCTGTAAATTGGAGGCCAACCTGGTCTACATAGTGAGTTCCAGGCTAACTACAGCTCTACAGTGAGACCTTGTCTCAAAACAGCAACAATAACAAAATGTATAGGTCAGGAATTGAAAAGGACCCGCTGGGTGTTCTTATAAGAGCTCTTTCTAGCATCTGTAGTAAAACGAAAGACTGCTGCAGTCAATGGCAGAACTTCCTGTGCTGCATAGTCAAGATGGCTGTTGGCAGGTGGAGCTTGGATTATTAACTACAGCTTATGCTTGGCCAGTTCTTACAATGTGGGCTTTTTCACAAAATGGGGGATTCAGGCATCTGGACTCGCATGATCCCTCAGGACCCCAGCACAAGCACAAGGGGGAATGAGGCAGAGGTTGAACCCCAATTTTTGGCCTAGCCTTTGAATGCCCAAAGACTCACCTGGGCCCACATTCTATTGTAAATAAACAAATCACAAATCTGTCTAGACACAAGAAGGCAATGGAGTACCAAGTCATTTACAACTACTTTTTAAGCTGCCTTAGCACATAGAAGCTTTATTCAATACAGCTATGTTTTTGTCAAGGTCACATGTGATCAGGAGGGAAAAAAAAAACCTTAAAAACCTAAGATCATAAATAAATTTCTGAGCAATTTTCTTTTGAATTTGGATAGGTTTTATTTTTATTTTTAACTGATCTTTCCATACCAAATCTCTATTAATTTTTCTAATCACAAAAATCAAATAAAAATATTTAATTTCTAAAATTTGTTAAGAGCTGTTAGGCACCACCACCCCCCCATATACCATCATCCAAAATCACCAGAGTATTCTATCTCACATGAATTCATCCTAGACCACTGATGACCTGCCACACCTAGCAATCCATAAGAGACTTGGAAACCTGTTGTGGGATGTGATCACACTGTGTCCTTCTCAGGAAACACATTCAGAAAAACCCAGAAGCCCCTACGGCTACAATCACACTACCTTGAATATGGCTTTTTTTTCTCTCTCTCTCTCTCATAGAAAGTAAAAAGAAAAACAAAAAAAATAAAACCCTGTAGTAATTTCAGCTTTTGAGAATGTTTCTTTGGGAAGAAAAAAAAAAAGAAAAAGTGAAGGAAATCTGTTGAGTTAAAGGCTCTCAATTAGTTATGTGAGGACTGGGAAGATCCGTTCATTTAGGCTGCCTTCAACATCAGTATCAACGGCTTTACACAGACAGATGGGATGTCCTTCACTTAGTGGGTGGGGGTTTACACAAAACCCAAATATCCACAAAAGTCTCAGAGCCTAGACTTCATTAATGACCCTCACTTTTTCTTTCCTCATCCCCTGAAAACACTTAAAAACTAAGGTCACCAGCTGTTGCATGGCATCAAGAACTAAAGAATTTATGGCAAGAGCCCTATTTAATTACAGCTCATGAAATTGATCCTGTGGTATTGCAGACCTTATATATAAATATTATTTATATCCCCAACTTTCAGGAAAGCAAGGTCTATTTCCCAGCCTTGCCAGAGGTCAGGGATCTGCCCCCAATGTTAAACATAAAAGGTGTTGTATAACATAGCTAAACAGATTATGGGCTGGTGTGCAGACATGGTTTTCTTCTCCACACAACTATAACTCTCCTTCTCTGACAAAGGAGAAAGAACTCCATTCAGTACACATCTCCTTAGGCCCCTGAGTACCTGTCCAAAGAGTGCATACTTAATTCAGAGGGCCTTGGGAACCCAATTGAGGGCTTGCCAAAAAAGGAACAACACAATCTGAACTATATCTTAGGGAGATTAAAGATGAAATTAGTAAAATGATAAACAAAACCACATAAATCTAAAAATCTGGTTCTTTGGAAAGACAAATTGAATGGATGAAGTTCTCCCAAGCTTGACTAAGGAAACTAATTGCTAACCAGTAAGATCAGGATTATGAAAAGAGCATAATGACAAATTCTAGAGACACTTACAAGACTACAATAAGATATTACATGTAAGGTACACAACACACTTGAAACCTAGAGGAAACAGATGACATCTGTAAAAATACTATTTTTCAGAGTTGATCCAAGGAGAAGAAGTGACTATGACGAGACCATGAGTGCCAAAAGGCAGCGAAGGATTGCCTATGGGTGAATCTAAGACATTGCTGGGTTGGAATTGTTTATAAAGAGTAACAAAAAAGTGCTCGACTTGGTTAATTGTGTGAAAAGACTGCTTTTACACAGAAGGACGTAAAGAGAAGGAATTGAGTGTAGGAGAAAAGGGATGCATCAATGTGGGAGCATCTCTAAGGTCTATCTAAATAGAGATGTACATCTAAGTGTCATAACATAATGGACACCTGCTGATGACACCCTGAGACTAATTAGGATGGTGCCATAGTAGGCAAGATGAAAATAAGTTGTATTTAATCTCCTTCATATTATTTTAGATTTTAGAAATTTGTGTCATTTTATAATGTACAAAATGTATTAGTGCCTTAGTTCTAAGATCCTAAATATACATATGGAGTAGTGAATGATAAAACAATTTAGTAATATGGATGATCAACTATTTAGACATCCAGACAGTAGAATATTATTCAGCAATAAAAAGCCACATGGCACTAAGACACACAACATGAGTGAATCTCAAAATCATCATGTTGAATGAAAGAAGTATATACTGTGTGATTCCATTCATATAAAAAGAGAGAAATGCAAATAGCCAGTGGAAACTAAAAAGCAGACTGATGGTAGCCTGGGACAAGGGGCAGAGAGACGTATCCATCGCAAAGACTCAGGGTATAATTTGAGGTGTTGAGAGCGTTTTGTATCTTGACTATGGAAGTGGCTCCACAGGTGTACACATCGGTCCAAATACATTGAGTAGAATATTTTAGGTGCATGCAATTATACACATTATGTCTAAGAACAGTTGATTTTTAAAAATCTGATAGCAAAAGAGGCCCTAGAACCTCTGTTCCTCAGCTGTGTTGTACTGTAGCTGCAAAGAACACCCAAACCTTAGTGATTTATACCAATAAGTTTTGTTTCTGGCTTATGTTAAGTGTTGACAAGTGGTCAGTTGTGACTCTGCTCCATTCAACTCCCCCACTCCAGCAGCCATTCCATATACCTCACACCCATGACTGAGCTTCTTACTGACCCATCTTAAAATGAGCAGACAGCCAAGAATCATTGGGGACATGATGAAGACCTTTAATATGAAGAAATGAAGTCAAAACAAGCAAGTAGAAGATGAGAATGTTGTAGAAAACAGATTGTACAAGGAGGAAAAGACTTAAAATTATGCTGCTTTACCAAAACAGCTCTGTTAGAACACACCAGGAGACTCTTTTCTTCCTGGGAGATGTAATTTATATTCAGTGTGTTAAATATATTGAAAAGTGATACTTACAATTTAAAGCAAAGGTTTAGTTGAATTCAGTGATAAGTACATATGTATTAAATAACAATAATGGTCTAGTAAAAGCAAATATAACTATAAGCTCCATGAAAAACAAAATATTACAGAGTAGGGATGAATAAGCATTTACATGGATACCTAAGTAAACATTTACATAGTCTAAATTATTTAAACATAACACAAATGTTGACAGTGATCAAATTACTGGAGAACCATATTGAGGGGCTAAAGACCCAAGAAGGGTCTGTATGTTTGGAAGTAGAGTGCAAGTCAAAACATCTTCCAAGCTGAAATTCAATGCGATAAATAATGTCTGAGGCTGAAAAATAAAAGTGGTTCTCATGTATGTATGTATGTATGTATGTATGTATGCAATAAGATGACAAATTTCAAGCAAACAAAAACACTATTCTCGCCTACAAGGAGAGCAAAGAATCAAGACAAAAGATGGGCAAAGGTGATTTACCATGAATATGGAACCGAGAGGAAAGAAAAACTACTTCTGCCCAAGAATCTCAGGAAAGACTTCACAAACAAAACAGAGCAAGTGACGGGGGAATCTTCGTTACCCATTGTGCTCTTCTTTTCATAATAGAATATGCTACCCACATTCCATGTGCATTTTCTAATCTGTGTGTGGTGTATGATATGTGTGAACGTGTGGGGGGTATATGTGAATGTATGTGTGTGTCCACAGAGTGAGCACACACATGCAATTAGGCATGAATGGAGATCAGAGGACAACTTCAAGAGTCAGTCCTCGCTTCCCACTTTGAGAGGGCATCTTTAGTTTGCCACCGCATGCAGCATGTACCACATGTACAGCACGAACAGTACGGACGGCACACACAGAAGGCTAGCTGGTCCTCAGCTTTCTGAGCTTCTCCTCTTGTCTCAGCACCCCCATCTTACCCTAGGAGTGCTGGGATGACAGACATGCCCTACCATGCTGGCTTTACATTGCTTCTAGAGATCCAAACCCGGGTCCTCGACCTTGCACAGCTAGTACATCGCCCACTGAGTCATCTCCTCAGTCTATACATGCATTTCTTTTCTTTTTAGTATTAATTTCATTTTCTTTTATAGTACTGAGGATCAATTCCAGGGCTCACACACGCTAGGCAAGAGCTTTATCACTGAGTTTTAACTGGGTGCGCTCGCTGGAGTCTATTTGTCAGCTTTCCTTCCTACTAGTAAGAGCTTTGTTACTGAATTCAAAAGGACACAAATGGGATGTTAGAAACTTCTGGAAGCCTCTTGTTCTCTCTTCCCTCCTTTAGCTCTCTGAGATGCAGGTGCGGGTGACCAATTTAAACCATATGAAAAAAGACAAATGCCCAAGAATTGTTAAAGCAACAAAATGGAAGGCACACTGGCTCTTTGTGACCCAAGGGAACAGAGCAGGCTACCCTGAGTCTGTCCATTAGTTCATACTTGCATGAAGTAGAAATAATTCTTGCCCTTGTTCCAATCACACTTGCTCTTAGTCAGAAGGCTGAGAAGTGATATCCCAATCACTGTTAAATGCTCTCTGTTAAGCAGCCGCATCAATGCTCTAAGAAGCTAGGACACCTGGCAGGAGTTAACAGACAAGGTGCAGACAGAAGAGAGAGGCATGATGGGGCCCAGGAATAATGCTGTGGGGGAGGGAGATGTCAGAGGAAGCTGAGCACAAATTGCAACTCAGTGAAGCCAGGCCATGTAATTTTAAAGAATTTGAGAACTATGAGAAGTTCCTTTGTACTAATTATGGCAACTCCATCATAATACCCATTTATTTGAAAATAATCTATAATCTAATTCATCTATTAAAAAAATAGATTACATGCAAACTATACACTACAGTTGGCAGACAATGCCCACTATCTCGACGAATGTCCTGATGGGACTGGTGGTTTTCCTACTGCATTTAAACTGATCTCTCTCCATTCAGAGGTATTGCCTCATGGACTTGGGAAATAATTTCTTATTTAGTACGGTACAGAAAGTTTCACTTTAGGGACATGAGAAATAGTTTCTTATTTAGTACAGCACATAAAATGGGTATTTTTAATAATAAAGCTATCTTTCGAGTATTTTTAAAACCTCTTATGAAAATATTGTTGTGTTATTAAGCAACGTTTCTATATATTCTATGATGCTGAGTAAAAAGTTTAAGACTAATAAACCAATTGAAAAGAAATAAATATTTAATAACTGCTGGTTAAAAAAAAAAGACTAGCTGGAAATCAGTATGGAAAAAGAAACTTGGTCCACTTTCCACATGACAACAGAATTCATTCCAAGTAAGTGAGAAGATGGTTAAGTTTAAACGCAAAAATTTTAAAACTACAATTCTCATTCAATAAGAAAGAAAGGAACTTTACATAGTTGAAAACATTTACAAGACAGATGAGACTGAGCCAAGGGAAAATGAGAAACTGTGCTGGAAACAGGAAGAAGACAAGGGAGGAGGGCTGGGGTCATTTGCATCGCACATGAATAAAAATCTTAACATTTTTCAAAATCTATGTAAATCCAGAAGGCATCCTACTTTTCTCCGGGTAAATTTATAAGTGGATAGAATATAGATGAGAAGATATAAATAAAAGTCAATGCTTAGAATTACTTTCAGATTTCCTAATATTAAAAATGGAATCTGAAACAACCATGGTCTAGTTCACGCTATCATGTCAGCACACAGTTTAAGTCACACGCATTCCTGTGCCAGGAGCATTACATACTCCACTTCTTAGAACACAAGCTGAGCTTTGTAACTGATCTATCTTTTGGCACACTAGCTCATTTTTATTAGCATATGCCCAGGAAAATAGTTAAAAGAAAAAAAGATACTTGTGTAAAGGTGTTTCTAGAAATTCTTTTTTACTTTCTTTTACTTATTATATGTGTGTTTGTGTGTGAAATGTGTGTGTGAGTATGCTTATGTGTGTGAGGTATATGTATGTTTGTGTGCATGTTTATGTGTATGTGAAATGTGTGTGTGATGTGTGCACATGAGTGAGCAACTCCCTATGCATGGCATACATGTAGAGGTCAGAGATTAACTTCTAGGAGCCAGTTCTCCCCTTCCACTGTGGTTCCAGGGATCAAACTCAAGTCATCAGGCTTACACAAGCCATTTTATCCATTGTGCCATTTCACCAGCCCGCGTCTAGAAATTCTATTGTAAAAAAAAATTTAAAGAAATTCCATTGTATTTTTTTAAATTAGCTCAACAGTTGAGAAATGGATATGTAAATTTTGGTGTATTGCTATTGCTATAGAGTGTTATGCAGCTATCACATAACATTGATGTGTTATGTTGTATGCAAAAAAATGTTTAAATAAAGATAATACAGGTTAGACATGACTTAAATTATTATATTTAATGATTATGTTTTTGTAAATATGTGCCTTCATTGAAAAGCATCAGAAGACTTACACGCAATGAATTGGAGTTTAACATTGTTTTCTGTATAAAATGTTAAAATGAACTATAAAAGATAAGAGATGCATTGATAAAGTGAAAGAAAATATTTCTCCCAGCTTGCAATCATCCCTAAACCAAGTCATCATTTCAGCAAGTGCTATTTATTAGCATCTAACATGCACTGAGAAATTCTGCTCGTAAAATGCAGGGTCTTGTCTGGGCATCACAGCTACCCCACAAGTCAGGCACTATCAGTCTCACTGTATATGGATCTACATCAACACTCTGCAAGATTAAATAATTTACCAAGCTACCAC